GCAGCAGAACAACAAAGGAAGAAAATGGAGAAAGAAGCACAAAGGCTGATGAAGAAAGAACAGAACAAAATTGGTGTCAAACTATCCTAACACAGGCTGTTCAATGGATGACAGTGTCAGCAGGAGAAGGGGGATTCCAGTCCTACAACATGTGCATCATTCATATTAAGTATTTCTAGACCTCCAACACACTGCTTCATTTTAATGCATTCTTTGGGCCATCTTGGAAGCCAGAATTCTCCCATAAATTATCTTGAACTATGTTAGTATATGGATCTTTAAAACTAAAATAAAGTACCAATCCAACAAATACCTTGATGGAACAATGTTTCCTGCAATAGCCCTATCCATCACCCTCCTTATGCAAGAACACTGATTGCTGCAGTAACAGTATGATGGTGGAGATACAAACTCTTTTAACAAACAGTTCAGCTCAAGCTTAAAGAGAAAAGGGTGTATATAATTCAGTGGTGGGAAATCTGTATCATCTATTATGCTTACCTGAAACGCGTGTAATTAAACAGTTTTAAAGAACTTGTTTTTCCCCCTGTGCTTTGTTTCACAAAATTCATGCCAACACTTTATTACTACTTTAAAAATTAAATATATGGTCTTTTCTGCAGGTCACTGTCTTCTCACAGGAGAAAAAATTGATGCTTCTGATGAATTCATTACTACACATCCAAATTTTGAATAATTGCAAATGGGATTTCTGTGGTTGGGGTCAAGTGAAGGCTAGAAATTAAGGGAATGAAAGTTTGCCTTATTTGCGTTCCAGGATTGAAATGCCGTGTAACCATGGTAGGCAGTGATGTTCCTGGTCTTGAGAATGATGTCAAAATAGTATCAGTCCAACCTGTACGCTTCTAATAAGTCTTTTCGTAGTAGATACTGTCCACCATTACAGGAGTATATGGGCTTAGTTATATAATATATTTGTTTTTAATTAATTGTTTTAATTTAATTGCTTTTTTCTTTGGTGCATTGTTTCAGATTCACCGTTAAGTATACTGGGATATTAACAGGGCTTTGCCAAGATTTCCCCAGTAAGTCTCTGGGAGGGGGGGAGGGGGGCGGGGGTTGGTAATTCATCTTTACAGAAAGTTGCTGGCTTCCTGCCTGCAGTGCCCAAATTTCACGAGCAGGAAGAGGAGAAACTTTACATTCCGTATTGTACCCTGACATTCTTCTGAAAAGGAGCTCTGTAAAAGATGCATGTAAGATAAACCAAAGATGGCATATGTACAGCTGCCAAATCTTTGTCTGTCCTGCACAATCTGTTGATGGTCTTTTTGGTTGGCTGCAACCTTTCCAATTTCCTGAAAAGCCCAAACCCCCACTGATCAAAAATATGCTGTGCTGATGGCAGGGAGGGTCTTTAAAAAGAAAACAGTAACAGCTTCTAATTTGTGAACCCAGCCTCTGCTGCTCCTCCTCAGAGGCTAAGAAACAAATTGAAGGGTTTTTTGGCCTAAAAATTGAGTAATTCTGCCCTTTGTGTTTGCTCATCTATTTTATATCTGGCACCAACACTTGATAGGTGCCTTGAACAGTAGATTGACAGGTCTCAAATATCAAGATAGGTGAGGGTTCCCCCTTGGGGCTTGTCATCTGCCAACAGTTAAATCAGAGTGAGGGTGGCTCTTGCCTGCTTCTAGAGGCAAGGTAGATGTGCCACAAGAACAGGGAGGTTGTAACTGGCTACCCTAACCCAAGCTTGTGCTGAACAGACTGATTATCCCATTGGATAATCACCCGATTATCCCACTGCAGAAATGACTGGAACCTGTGCAGCACCTGAACCTACTCTAGTAAATAAAACAGTTGAGAGCAAACATGTTCATCATCTAATTGACAGAACAATGGGGGATTAATTGACTGGCTTTGAGAGTGAGATTAGAGAGAAAGAACACTGTATTTGTCCTTCCTTATGTTTAACATTCCTAGAACTGCTTATTAATGTGAAACTTTTTAGTGAATTAAGGTATCACTCCATACCTGCATCATTGCCCATGAGTCACCTTTTGTAACCCAGGACGTGGCACGGAACTGAGGCTTCAAATACGATGTATGTTTTTCTTCCTTTTGATATGATAATTGGCTCTTGCATGCCATGAAGGACTTGTGAGTGTTACTTAGGACAACCAAGGCCATGTACTAGTCCATCCTGTGGGGAAAGTTGGAGCTCTACTTCCTTCTAGTGGATCATTTTTTAGTAACATTTTAAAGCCAAACCAACAGAGGCTCTTCTGAAGCAGTGTAAAATACCACGGATGTGTCAATCCTCTCTGTCAGTTTGTTGAATACAGGGTAAGTCCATGTAACTGAGAAGACAGGTGGTATTTTTTGTTCTGACTTATGCACTGGTATTTGAGGTGGTGTTTGATGTTATGACCCCACCACTTCAATATCTTGGCTGGGGGTTGGTCTCACATTGCTACTCCCCAGCCTTTGCTGTTCAGTCCTTACTTAGAATAGAAGGACCAAATGATGAGCTAACTGGATTGGGAAGTATTTTGATTTTTTACATACATAGGGAAATGGTCCATGGCAAAAGGAATCAGATAAAGTTTGACAGCCTCAGCCTGTTTGACTAAAAAATAATACTGAGGAGGGCCAATACTAGGGGGCAGGGGAAGAAAGGAAGCTAAAAAAATTAAGCAATGAGGCAGATCTGATTGCAGACTCTGCCAAAAATAAGGAGAGAGATGTTGCATCATGCGTTTAGCAAAGATGATGGGTGGGGGTTTAAGATTGCATGAGGATGTTCTTTCTTTTGGGTTTGCTGTGTCCCGTTGGCCAGCTGCGGGGGTGGGGTGGGCAAGAGAGTGATAACTGGCTCCCCTGACTTTCTGATAATATGAATCTTCCTTCTCACTATTTTGTACCCCTGACTTCCATCCCTGTAGTCATGGAGCTGTGTTCTGTAACTGGGCTCTGACCCATTTCTTTATTCTGAAGAACTAACAGGAACTCTTCTTATTGAGTCAAATTGACAGTGAGTTTTTTTGCCTTCCCATCGGCATTGTGGAGACACGATTTGAATAAGGAAAAGCATATTCAGAAGTTCATTATTAGAAGCAAATGGCAGGTGGAACTGTCGCCCAGTGCGGATGAAAGCTGAAAGAGACAGGTCCCAGAGGTAAACGAGCAGGGATCTTGTTGTCTGGAAGAAGAGGCCTGTTGTCTTAAATTGTAGACCAATGTCCCTGTATTACTATCTCATAGGTGGGGAAAGAGTTAAAAATCTCTGAAGGAAGCTGTTATGGGTGGTGGGTGCAGTAAGGGAAACCCCTGCATTATGAGTTATATGGTGGGTGTCTGGTAAGCCCACACTGGATTCAGTTAAAGGTCTAGTTATGTGTCTGTCTGTTACCTGTGTATCCTGGGCAGGTGTATTCATGTCTCAAAATGGAACCTAATGCAAATGCCAATCGAAGCTGTGCTTAATGCATTTATGTACCTAAATTGTAACTGTGCTTGGAGTCGGTATTGTTGCTTTCCTCTCAGCTTTGCATTGCACCCATCTCAGATTTACATGTTGGACTGTTCTGCTAGGAAATATATTGTTCTTAAGGTGCTTTCTACTTTACCACTGCCCAGAGGGCATGCAGATTGCACTAGTGATGGTAAAAGAAGGATAAAAAATATCTTTGCCTTGGCTCCTGAAGAGGCACTTCCACTTTAAAGAGATCATTCGAGAGTTCCCCACGCTGCTTCTCAACCTTGAGGTGAAATGTTTCAGTTTGTTAAGAATCTTCTTGCTATCTGAGATTTGCTGAACATGAGGCCTTCATTTTTTTTTTTTTTTTTGTGATCTACTTTTGCCCCAGTTCCTACATATCTCAGACTGTTTCTAAAAACCAAACTGGGCTCTAAATCTAAAGTAAAGGCAAATACCAGGACAGTTGGTGGGAATAAGACGGTGAGGGCCGAACTCTGGCAGGTGGCTTTCCTGGGTGCCACTCTGATCGCCTTACCCTGCCCAAACTCTTGCTCTGATTTCAGTGCCTTGCCCTGTGGCCCCTGCCTGATCTACTGCTCTGCTTTTGGGTTCCTTCAACTCTTATCTGTGACTGTTCCCTTCTCCAGTCTGCTGTCACACACCAAAGCTGCCTGTGTATCTTGACATGCTGCGGGTTTGGACAGGGAGGGGCTACAGGAATGGTGTGTCAGAGAAAGCATCTGGGATTAGTAATAAGAAATGGACTTTAGTTTCTGTCTGACAGGACTTTGACTAAATAAACATCAGCTTGCCTCCTTTAGATTTACATAAATCATCAGTGAATGTCGCCTGCAGTCCTCATTAAGAACTAATGACTTGAGAACTATTGAAGAGTTTAATTAAAGATGCAAACCAACTAGTGGAGCATAGTGTGTGACCACAGTGGTGTTTCTTCAGGGAGGTATCATAGTCTAATAACACTGCTATGCAAGCATCTCTTGGTCTAGATCAGTCATTTGACACCTTTGGATATTCCCTATGTGTTGACCAGTTATTCCTCTTCCCACAGTTATTTAATACTTAAGCAGTTTATGATCAGTGATTAGTCTGACTTCACAACACTTTGAAGCAAGTGGCATCTGGAAATATTTTCTACCCATTCTACATCGGGGGAAAAAAAGCTGGAAAACAATTATGTTAAATGACTTCTGGTCTCATTGCAGGAACATGTGCAACCATCCTCATCCCTCCGCCCCGTTCCCCCCAGGGCCTCTCTGCAGTAGTCCCACCCCTTGGCAGAGATTGGCAAAATGCCTGTTAAATAAGCTCTGCAAGCTGCAAAATCCCTTTGTCTCACTGCACTGCAATTTAAGCAGGTCCCTGCTCATGCAATACATCAGTTACAGAGCCTTTCACCTCTGGGTTAGTGGTTGCTGTGGGAGGTGTATCTAAGTGTTCACTGCTTTCTAAGCAATAAGAGTCCAGACTTACCGTGTGAAAGCTCATCCTTTAGTTTAGTTTTGTTTAAATATCTATCGCTAAAAGAAAACACTAATTCATATTTTCAACATGCTTTACTGTAATTGTGATTATAAAGGTTATTTCCAATAAAACACAAACAAAAAAATAAGTTAATACACAATACATTATAAACAGTATTTCACAGGGCTTGATGACTAGCACATTCCAATAAGAATTTGCTTAAGACTTTAAAACAACAATATTCATAAAGTGTATCCACACCCATGTTTATCAAACATAACAAGATCCGAGACTCTCAACCTACACAACACATTTTTGGTTACAGTCCCTTGTACACAAGACCAGTGGAATGCTTGGGCAGTTACGTATTTTAAGAGAGCACTATGCAAGACGAGCAATACAATACATGCCAGAAGCTGTCTTGGAAGTATGATTGGTTTTTTCTTTATAAGAATTGATGCTTCAGACTACATGGAAAGCATTAGCATGCTTTGTAAAATACATGTGTGATACACTTAGTGGAAACAAGTCTTAATGCCATCTAGTCATCCTTCACTTTCAAACAACCTTTATGAACATGTGTTTAACTAATTATAGTGCAAATCAAAGAGGCAAGAGCAAAATGACAGACTTTGCCTTTTACATACAATATCTCTTCTGGTATATTATGATTCTCTTCCATCCACCAGCCCAACTAATTGGCACCCCATAAGGGACAGTGAAGTTTATGTTTTGATAGTGAAGGGCGTACGACGAAGGGTGTGTAGTGCCATCAGGCAACAGCCACGAAGCAAAGCTCCGATATTGTAGATGGGATCTGTTCCTCCTCTCTGAGTACTGAACACCCACATTACAGTTGGTACAACAGGGGCTGCTACAGCCAAAAGATCTATGAGGAAACTGGTGCTCCAGTACCTCTTCATAACGCCTGCCTGAGGGACAGTACTGACATATCTGAATGCCTCATCATGAGAGGCTCTAAAATCAAGTTCCTTCATGAAATGGTTTTCATTAACTCCATAATCCACCTTACAGAACAAAGGCTCTGTGGGAGACAAAAGGATGGCAGAATTTGGATCACTTGGAGTTAAGTCCACTACCAGACTGGAGTCACTGAAACATGCAGCAGGAAATCCATCCCACTCCTTCAGAGGAGAAGATGGGCTCACAGGACTGATGTCTTGTGATCTAAGTATGTTTTGAATGAGCTGCTCCATATCTGGGCTGTATGGCACCACATCAGTCTGAATGGCCTGTTCCATCACCACAGTGTCATCACTTTCCTCTTCCTGGGAGAACGCTACTTCATCAGGAACACTTTCAAATGCATTTTGGCATATGGTAGAAGGTCTGGCAGTGTAGCTGTAGAGGTCCTGATCACCAGATTCATGTGCAGTCGTGGTCATAATCTCTTCAAATAAGTCAGTCCCAGTGGAGATGTCATCATTGAGCAACACTCCACTGTCTGCCGTCTCCTCTGTGGCTTGGTCCTCCATTACTAGGCTGTCTGCCATTTTGGAATATGCTGTTAAAGACTTACTGGGTGACCCGCACATGTACTCTAGACCCTGCTCATCCCTCAAAGAACCATTCTGAGCCATCTCCATGCTATGAAGCAAGGATTCAAGTTTCTTGTTTTGGATATTTATATCTATGAAATATTTTTGAATCCCTTTGTCCTTCTCAGCTAAGCTATTTTTCATAGTCTCAATAACCTGCTTGAGTTGCTTGATCTCTTTTCTTGCCTCCTTCAAAGCCAACTGTGCTTCCACACGATGGCACTCTTCTTCAATCCAGTCTTCCCGCATGCGTGCCAGCTGAGACTTGAGCTCCTCTATTTCTGTTTCCCTGGAGCAAAAGCAAAATCATTTGGATGCCCAAGAAAGTTTTAAGAATTAAATGATTTCTAGCTTTTAGTGGAGCTCGAGAGTTAGCTTAAATGACAGCTGAGCTAGGCTTGGAATTGTATAAGCAAAAGAATTAGGATTTTGAGATGCTGAAAAGTTTAGAATTAGGGGTGTCCTTGACAAATAATAAATCTCAAAACTACAGCTGAAGTGTCTTCAGCACAAAGTTTTTTCAACTTCAGGGACAAGGAGTATGTTTAGGTTTTTTCCGTTTCTTTTTTCTTTTTAATACATTTGACACACACTTTGTGATAGGCATCTGGCTGGGGTCATCTGACCCCAGCACTCTTTCCTGCCTAAGCAGGGGGTCAGACTCGATGATGTGTTGAGGTCCCTTCTGACCCTAGCATCTATGAATTTGTGATGGTTTAAGTAACAAGGATAGAAGTGCATCCTCTGACATCCTTGAAGTATGTTC